GTCCACGTGCTGCTCGGGGCCGCTCTTCAGCAGCGCGGTCAGGGAGCGCTGCGCGCCGTAGCTGCGGCCGGCGTATTGGAGGAGGCGTCCGCCGGCCATGAATAGAAGGTTGGTCTTGTTCTTCTTCCCCTTCTCCGTCCCCAGGATCTTCACCGCCTGGAGGTCGCTCAGGTTGGCCACGTGAGTGCCGCAGCACATGTTGGCGTCCACGCCCTCCATGTCGATGATGCGCACCGGCCCGGCGTGGTCGTCCGGCAGACCTCGGCTCCTCACCTGCTCAAACTCGGGGTCGTCGGTGCCGATGATCCTCACGGTGACCGGAACTCGCCGACGGATCAGGCGGTTGGCTTCTTCCTCGATGGCGCCGGCCTGCTGAGCGCTCACCGCCGCCGCGTCCAGCTCTATGGTGCTCCTCCCCCCGCGGCTCAGCTCCCAGGAAGTCGTCTTGTAGCCGTAGAGGGAGTCGGCGATGGCGGTGATCAGGTGCTGACCCGAGTGTTGCTGCATGTGGTCAAAGCGCCGCTGCCAGTCCACCTTCACCAGCACCCGGGCCCCCGGCTCCAGAGGAGAGGTGACGAAATGGACGGCCTCGGGGCCCCGGCGAGTGACGCGCAGCACAGGAGTCTCCCCGATGGTTCCTCTGTCGTCAGGCTGCCCCCCCCCTTCCGGGAAGAGCACCGTGTCAGTCAGAGTGACATTGTATCCAGACAGAGTCTCCTTCCTTCCGCCGCCATTGTCAGTGTGCAGCTGGGCCGGGGTGCAGGAGACAACCTCTGCGGAGAGCTCGGTGGCATAGCTGTCCTCCTGGCAGTAGAAGGCCATGGCACCCCTCAGCAGTCCCGGTGTTGTCACCCCTCAGCAGTCCCGGTGTTGTCACTCACAAACAGCGTCCACCACCAGACACACGGACCGTACAGGCGCACAATGATGATGTCACTCAGCTCTCTGATTGGCTGCAGGCTTGGTCTGGGAGGAGCCAGTCATTAACTCCTTCCCTCCCTGCTGATCTGTGTCTGAGCTCTGATATCGGAGGGAAGATACAAAGTAGCCAAATGTATCCACTGAGCACTTCCTGTAACCCTTTCCTCCCCCAACCTGGCCGCACCCATTAACCCTTTCCTGCACCTCCCCCACTGTGTGTGACGTTTAACCCTTCCCTCCGTGCGTGCGACATTTCACCCCTTCCTCCCTGTGTGCAACGTCTAACCCTTCCCTCCCTGTGTGCGATGGTTTAACCCCTCCCTCCCTGTGTGCGACGTTTAACCCTTCCCTCCCTGTGTGCAACGTCTAACCCTTCCCTCCCTGTGTGCGATGGTTTAACCCTTCCCTCCCTGTGTGCGACGTTTAACCCTTCCCTCCCTGTGTGCGACGTTTAACCTTTCCCTCCCTGTGTG